AGCCGAAGTCGGATGCTCAACCGACTGAGCCCCCCAGGCGCCCCCCTCAAACACCATTCTTGGTTCCGTCGACACCCCCTCAGCTTGGAGGCCTCGGCATAAAAGTCCCCTCCTTGGGAGAGCTTTACAGGACACCCCCTAGACGAGGCGGGTCCTCCTTTGATGTACTCTCGCCGGAGCCAACGAACTGGTTTCACAAGTAAAGCTCATTATTTTGATTCTGAGCCTCATGTCCACTCGCCGGCTCAAATGGGAGCCTTGCGGGGACAAAGAGAGCGTCCGCAGCCCCTAACTCAGTGTCTGATGGGTACTTGCCCGACAAACACGGCTGGACTGAGAGGCATTAGAAGGTTAGGGACGCCCCCGTCTACACTCTCCTGTGTATCTGTGGAGAAGGTAAGGTCTAGCGAGGGACAGGGCCCCTGCCCAGGGTCACACGGTGACTCGGCGCTCAGTTTTCTGAGGCTCCGGACGGCTACGAGAGCGGATGTCTCAGGGAAGAAGTCAGGAGCCCCAGCCCACGTCCCTCACCAGCAGCCGGGGACTTATGGAAGTTGAACAGCCTTTTCATCTCGTGCAGACTTTTCCAGGGCCCCTTGCGGCACAGCAGGCCCTTGAGTGTCATCTCTGTAAACCTGTCAGAGGATGTCAAGGGTGGGCGGGGGGCAAGGGGCCCCGGGAGACCCTCCCCTGGCAGCTGGCCTTATCCTTTCTGGAATCTTGAAGCAGCCTCCGGGGCCCGAAGTAGCCACTACCCCTGACGGAGGGAGGCATTGTCCCAGGAGGACGGGTGGTGGGCAGAGGCTATGCCCCGGGTAGGGCTGTGGGACCCGCATCCTTGATGGTGGGGGAGGACAGAAGGCAGGGGTCCTAGGGCATCTGAGGCCCAGGGTCGGGAGAGGGTGGGCCTTCTTACCCAGAGCCAGCTTTCAGGTAGAAGTGGACGTTCTTGGTTACAGAGTATTTGATGTTGAGATCTAGGTCCTTCACGGTCTTCTCGTCCAGGCAGCGAGGCCAGCCTGGGCGGTAAGTCTTCCATCTGGAGGGAAGAGCAAGAAGGCGGTCACCGAGAAGCCTCGGGGAACCCGCTGACTAGGGCAAAGGGAGAGGTAGGCCCTCGGAGGCCCTGGGCAGAGCCAGCGCCCTTCTACAAGCAAGGGTGTTCCTCGCTCTGCCCTTGCCTGACAGCCACAAGGCTTCGGGGGAGCCACTGTGTTCCCTCAGTGAGACTTCTCCCCTGGCCACAGCTGACCAATGCAGGGCTGGGCACTTAACCAGAGGTAGGCCAAGCAAAGTCCTTCCGGGGGAAGTAGGGATGGGGGCTGTTAAAAGAGAGACATCGGGGTGCGCCTGGGTGGCTCAGTCGGTTGAGCGTCCGACTTCGGCTCAGGTCATGATCTCACGGTCCATGAGTTCGAGCCCCGCGTCAGGCTCTGTGCTGCCAGCTCGGAGCCCGGAGCCTCTTCGGATTCTGGGTCTCCCGCTCTCTCTGCCCCTCCCCTGCTCAAGTTCTGTCTCTCTCTGTCTCCCAAAAATGAATAAACATTAAAGGGAGAGAGAGAGAGAGAGACATCAGGTTCAAAATGGAGTCACTCATGCTAAGCCCTCGTCGACAAACCAAGACTCAACACCTAATCTATTTGCAATTTCAGCCTCTCCCAGGTATGCGACCTTGAACCAGTCAATCTGGAATTACCTGGTTAGCATCCGTAAGGTAATCTGCCTGATAGATTCCCACCTTTCCCCAAAGGAAGGTGACCTTGCCTGAACCAATCTGCTCTTTGCTAGAAACTTCCTTTTTCTGCTCCGCATCTGCCTATGAAGTAAGCCTTCCATTTGGCAGGGCTCCTCAGAGCTCCCTTCTATCTGCTGGGTGGGATGCCGCCTGATTCGTGCATCGCCGAATAAAAACGTACTCGGTTGAATGTTGTTTTTTAACAACCCCCAGAGAGGCTGTGTCTCTCTCTGGGTATCTGGACTAGCACGTGTACACATGGGGACTCTTACTTGGGGCCATTTTCCGCTGTGTGGACTGGGACCCACAGAAAGCTGTTCTGCAGAGAGACAGAAAAGTAAAGCATCTAGACCGCTGGAGACAGGGAGGGAATGACCTTGGCTTCTGGCCTGTGAGATCTGACTACACGTCCAGCACTTTGGCGCCCTCTTGACACAGGCCGTTTCTTCCTGTCTGCTTGCTAACCTGGCCTCGTGCTTGTGCCCACAGAATCTCTGACTTACAGAGACGCATCTCACAGAGGGAGGCCGTCGTGAAGAAGGAGTTCAAGAAGGCATCCCATGGAGAGACACTCTGGCTCCCAGAGCTTGGGGGAGCCCAGAAACTCACTCTGCCCTGGCCTACGGCAGGTCGAGTCGAGCTAGCACAACACGGCCTGAAGCCCTTTGGGCGAAATGGTAAGATCGCATCCCGGCAGAGCTGACGACCCCCAGCCAGTCTTTCCTCCTCTCA